ATTCCTGCTCCGCACTTTCTAAATTTAGCTTCCTTGTTTTAAAATTGCAAATAGTGAACTCCCTACCCCCTTGTAGAGGATCAGAGTGAGCCTTTAAGAAGGCGCTTGGGGAGAAAGCGTTTGGAGAAAGCAGCAGATACAGGCACAGAGCTCACCGGCCATCATTCCCGATAAAGTCGCCTGAGGAAAGGGGGCTGCAGCCAGCTGGGCCCTGCGGGCGCTCAGTGGAGAGACCAAATCCACAGTGGCTTCCAGGGAGCCCAAGAAGTCCCCTTCCCCAGGAGGGTCAGGGTGTTGGTTGGTCCCAGGTGACCAGCATGGACAATAACCAGACTTGGGGGACAGTCACCCTGGGAGCAGAGCTGGGCCCGGAACCCAGGCTCTGGAGGGATGAGGCTAGGCACCCCGTGGCGCCCCGCCCCTGCCCATGGGCCTCCTCCTCAGGTCCTCTGCATCTCCTTGAAGATTCTCCTGCTGGGATCACCCTCCTCACCAGATCATGGTCGGCCTCCTCCAGGAAGCCTTCCAAGAGTACAGGGACCCCTCTGCTGTGAGCCACAGCACCTGTGGGCCCCAACCTCGTCTGCTGTTGTATCCTTGGGCTGCTGGGGCAGCCCCTCACTGACAGTCCTGGTGGGGTGTAGTGCTCATCAGCCTGCCCAGATCCCAGAGGCTGGGTCTTCCTCCTGCCCAGATCCGCGAGCAGATGGGTGTCCCCTGCCCAATTCTATGAGGTTCCTCCAGGGCCTGGTGCTTCTCCATACCACTCCCTCACCTGGGGCAGACGCACTCACACGGGCGGCACGCGCGGCTGACTGGCAGTGGGCCAGGAGGCGCCCAGAGGGCCAGCGGGCCACGCTTCATGGGGAGGCAGAGGGGGGCCTGGGCCTGAGCCGGCTGGGCCTGCCGTGCTCTGGCATGGGGCCCCTGAGGGCAGACCTGAGTGTCGGAGCCCCCGTTGCCCCGGGCACCCCCATCGGGATGAGCGGAGTGGGGCCACCCCCACCCTGAGCCCCCCCATTCTGCTCCGGGCCTCCAGCGGGCCTGCGGGTGGGGAGTGGGGGTGAGAGGAGCTGCGGACGCTCATTCGTGGCTGGAATGACCTGAGAAAGCAGCACAGTCACGTTTATTGCGCATCGGTCCCCGGCAGCCCGCCTGGTCCTCTCACCAACGCAGACCTTGCAACCCTGAGACAGAAGGGTTCCTGTCCCCATTTTACGGATGAGGAAACTGGGGCTCACAGGGTGGTGGAGGCAGCTTCCACCCAGGTCTGACCCCAAAGCCAACCTCAGCATTCACTCCCACCCACCCCGAAGAAGAAGGGGAGCCCGGGGCCCGGCCGGCGTCCAGAAGGGCCCGCGCTGGGGCGCTCAGTGCCAGATCTTCACGTCGCCCTCCCAGGAGCAGGAGGCGAGGACGGAGGGCAGCACGGGGTGGAAGGCGGTGCCCACGCAGGCCTGCGCGTGCCCGGGCAGCGTCCGCGCTCGGCTGGCGGTGCGGAAGCAGTAGAGCAGGACCCGGCCGTCCGCGCTGCCCGTCACCAGAAGGTCGCCGTCCGGGGAGCACTCACAGCCCACGGAGTAGCCTTCCACCTGCGAGGGTGACAGAGGGTGACGGCGGGTGAGTGGGCCATTCCACGGGTGCTCCGAGGCGCCCGCCCTCCAGAGGGGCCCCCACAAGCAGGGCTGGGCCACACACGGGCCCCGGGCAAAGCCCAGGCTCCTCCAAGAGGCTGGGGTCCTGGTGCGGGTCATTCCGCAAGCCTGGTTCATGGAATCTGCTGGAACAATTCCAGTACAGCTGACCGTGTCCGGCCTCCTCCTCCTAGGGAGGCAGGCCCCAGCGGGGAAGGGGGCAGAGCTAGAAACACCCACCCCGTGACCAGTCCATGCCAGCCAGCAAGTCAGGGGAAACCTTTCCTATCCAGCAACTGGGGCCTGGGGTGGGCCTTGAGGGGACACCAGGCCACACAGCACGTGGTCACCTGGGAAGCAGAAAGCAGGGCCTGCTGGACGGACGGTCTGTGCACTCTGGGGCCCCAAGTCCATTGCTGACACTGTCCGGCAGGAGGCCCGGGACCGGTGCTCAGCTCTCCACTCTCCACCAGGGGACAGGGACAGGGACAGGGACAGGGTACCTTGTGCCCTTCGTAGCGCCGTCTTCTGCTCATCCGGTAGGGCCACACGGCGGAGAACAGGGCCAGGTAATTGCCATTGGTCTGCGCCAGGAACACAGGCTCCCGCGGGTGCAAGGCGAGGCTGGGGCAGGTGTACCTCTCCTGAAACGGCAGGGCCACACAGAGGAGATCGGCCGGCGGCCTCTGCCCGCCGCCACCCCGTGCTCTGCTTGGGGGCCCGTGCCTTCCTCCCGGACCTGGGCTCAGGGGTCCCCATGAGTTTCCTGTGGCTGCTGCAACAGACTGCCACACCTTTGTGGCTCAGAGCAACACAAATGTATTATCTCAGAGTCTGGAGGTCAGAGGTCTGACACGGGTCTCACCGGGCCAAAATCAAGAGGTTGACAGGGCTGGTTCCCTCTGGAGGCTGCAGAGAATCTGTTTCCTTTGTACTTCCCAGCTTCCAGGGGCCACCTGCACTCCTGGCTCAGGGCCCTCATGGTAGACTGAAAATGCTCCCCACCCCAAACACATCCATATCCTCATTCCTGGGGCCTGTGAATGTCACCTTATGCGTCAGGAAAAAGAGGGAGGAGTCTTTGCAGATGTAATTAAGTTAAGGATGTTGAGACAGGGTGATTATCCTATAGTATTGACCTAAATGCAGTCAAGGGAAGCAGAGGGAGATCAGACATGGAGAAGGTGGTGTGAAGATGGGAGGGTGTAGGCACAGCCATGCGCCGCCAGCCGCCAGCAGATGCGCCAGGAGCGAGGCACAGCCACACCCCGGCGCCTTCAGAAGGGGCGCGCCTCGCCAATGCCCGACTCCAGCCAGCGACACTGACTGCAAACTCCAGGACTGTGAGGGCGGACGTTCCGAGTCTGTGGTCATGTGTGACACAGCGGTAGAGAACGAATCTCGTGCCCATCCCCCCACCTCCACAGCAAGCCCTCGGCAGCAGCCCAGCCCAGCCCAGGGTCCCACACGGCCAAAACAAACAGTAAGTGAGGAGGCTAATGGCCGAGCGAGAGGTTGAGTGCGTGAACAAAGTGTTCAAAACACAGACGGGGAAATCTATGTTTGATGAACTTGGTCACTCAGAAATGCCCTTGAAACTCGCTCCTCAGCTGCACCTGTCCGTCCGTCCATGTTCTAAGATTGCCCTTAAGCCTCACTCTCTAATGAGCCCAGGCTCCGAGGGCAGAGTGGGACCAGTGAGAACCCCAGCTGCAGATGGACGTGCCCATCAGAGGCACGGAGGCCACGGCGGCCCCTAACGGGCTCCCTGCGTGATATGACCCCACAGAGAGCCTGCCCACCGCAGGAAGGACGAGGAGGCGTGAGTCTGGCAGGGCCAGCACTCAGCAAGCAGCTCTCTCACCCACCTCGCTCACTTCCCTGCACTTCGCAAGGCCTGCCGGAGGCAGGACCCCTGGCGGCCAGACATGCCCCGCCCAGCCCCCTCCGGGACCCGTCCTTCTCAAGAGGTTGCACGAGAGCCTGGAGTAAAGGTCTAGAGGCAGCTTGCTTAGGGTCACTCAGAACACCCGAGAACAGAAGAAAAAAGCAAGAAGGGAAAAGGTCTGTATGTATACCTGAGACAGACAGACAGGTGATAGATAGATGAGAGATAGATGAGAGAGAGATGATTGATAGATGATAGATAGGTGATTGATTGATAGATGATTGATAGGTGAAAGATAGATAGATGATAGATAGATGATAGATGATAGATAGATGATTGATAGATAGGTGATAGATAGATAGATAGATAGATAGATAGATAGATAGATAGATAGATAGACAGACAGACACAGAGAGCCTGCCCACCGCAGGGAGGACGAGGAGGCGTGAGTTTGGCAGGGCCAGCACTCAGCAAGCAGCTCTCTCACCCACCTCGCTCACTTCCCTGCACTTCGCAAGGCCTGCCGGAGGCAGGACCCCTGGCGGCCAGACATGCCCCGCCCAGCCCCCTCCGGGACCCGTCCTTCCCAAGAGGTTGCACGAGAGCCTGGAGTAAAGGTCTAGAGGCAGCTTGCTTAGGGTCACTCAGAACACCCGAGAACAGAAGAGAAAAGCAAGAAGGGAAAAGGTCTGTATGTACACCTGAGACAGACAGACAGATGAGAGATAGATGATAGACATAGATGATAGATGATAGATGATAGATAGATGATAGATGATAGATGATAGATAGATGATAGATGATAGATGATAGATAGATGATAGATGATAGATGATAGATAGATGATAGATGATAGATGATAGATAGATGATAGATGATAGATGATAGATAGATGATAGATGATAGATGATAGATAGATGATAGATGATAGATGATAGATAGATGATAGATGATAGATGATAGATAGATGATAGATGATAGATGATAGATAGATGATTGATAGATAGGTGATAGATAGATAGATAGATAGATAGATGGATGGATGGATAGATAGATAGATGTGTGTGTGTGTTTAAATTCAGAGTGGGAGCACCGAAGAGATTAGCCATGGCTTATTTGAAATCTTAAAAGATGGTGGTGATGTCAGCGATGATGGTGTGATAATTAAATGGTGGTTATGAAGGTCGTGGTGGTTGATGGTGATGATGGTGGTACTGATGATGGTGGTCGTGGTGGTGACGGTGGTGGTGGTCGTGGTGATGGTGATGTTAGGTAGTGCATTTATGGAGCACGCTCTGTGCCTGGTACTGTGCTAGCCCCTTCATAAGCATTTTCTCTTTTAATTCTCAAAACCACACTATGAGGCGAGTAATATTCTCATCCTCGATTTTCTAAGAGAAAAATGTAAATCGAAGACACTAAATAATGGGGCCAAGGCCCCAGCTTGCACGTGGTAAATCCAGGGCTGTCATGACAGTGGTCTGACTCCAGCATCCCTGCCTGCACTCCCAGGTCACAGCCCCTACCACAGCCACCGGCAGGGGCAGGGTGGACACCTGTGGGCTGGCCGGGGCAGTGGAGGGGGGTAAGGATGTCTCGGACTGCTCGGCCACCTTCCTGTCCATCCGGACTGGGCTGCCCTCCATGCCCTTACCGCATGGCGGGGCTGCGCTGGGCAGGGACGGGCGAGGGGCGGACAGGGAGTCGCTGTGGTCTGGAAGCCTGGGAAGGGGTCTCCGGGCAGGCCTGGACCTGAACCTGCCTTCCCCCACCCTAGAGATTTCAGGCAGCCAATCTGCCTCCGAAGATCCTATCGCTGAACCACCTCCCACAGGGGAGGAGCTGGGACCCCGGACAGCCTGGGGCTATGCGGACTCATTCTGTGGCCGAGACTCAAAGTGATGGCGAGCGGGAATTCTCACGTGGAAAATCTGGTTGGAGATCTTGGCGGCACTGCGGAAATCCCAGGCGATTATGGTGCGATCGGCGGAGTCCCGGCTCGAGGCATCTGTGCTGCTCAGAAACTCGGAGCCTTCCTGGAGGAAGAGGACGTCCAGGGTCTGCTGCACGGTCGCCTTGTAGCTTCTCACCGCCTGCAAGAGCAGACACGCGTCCTGCTGGCGGCCCCCGGAGCACGGGGCAGCACCCGCGGGGAGGGCAGGGGACGGCCACCAGGGGCCCAGAGGGCAGGGCTTAGTGAGGGGAGTGCTGAAGGAAGGGACCGAGCCCAGCCGGGGGCACCTAAGGGACAACGCTGGTGCCCATCGATCTGGAGCCACACTTGCGAGCGGGTCCTGCTTCCGAAGACGGCACGTGATGCAAGCTCACAAAGCCCCAGCCTACTGCCCCCGGAGCAGTCGCTGTACCACTGGGAGTGAGTGTCCTTGGCGACCACAAAGCCAGAACCACAGCGGGCAGGTCAGGTTTGAAGGCATTTTTACTTCTTGGCATCATGGCCAACATTCCAAAGCCTCCTGCCTCATAAACTGCCATGATCGCGGGTCCCGCGTCGTCACACTGTCTGCAGAGCATTTTCTCACGCCCACCTTCCGCTCTAAGATGGCTGGCCTGGCGGTGGCAGCTACCAGGACGGGGTCCCCAGGACCAGGACTAACCAGCACCTCCACTTAACAAACTCACGGCGGGCCGACGGTACCGAGCAACAGGCCAGGGCACAGTGCCTCGGGCCGGCTGCGGGCCTGGCGGGTAGACCCGCTCCCAGGGCGCCACCATGTGGCCAGAGCATAAAGGCAGCTCAGCACCCCGGCCAGAAGTGAGCCATCTTGACACATTTTGTAAAAAAACTGGAGTTCACGACCTTTCAGATGTTGCAGACTTTCATTCACTATCACCCTCTTCAAGTGTACATATGTCAAACTCACATTAAATGTGGCACCCCATACATGCACTGAGATGGGGGGCAGGGTTGGAGACCCATTCTCCAGATGAGGAACACTGAGGCTCGGGGAGAGGCAGGGATTTGCTCAAGGTCACATGGCCAGGATGGGTGGAGCCTGTCCAAGCCGCAGCTGCTTCCCTGGAGCCCGCGTCCCCGTCTCCTGCTGGCCAGTCCCGCCTCAGTGACTGCTGGGACACATTCCTGGCAGACGGTGGGCAACAAGTAACTGCTCTTCTCCGAGCCTCTTCAGAGGCAGCCCCGGGCTGGCACGATTTCAGGGTGGGCCTCCAGAACCCGGAGGAGTGGTCGGGGCAGAGAGGGCGGGCAGCCCTGCAGGCCTCTGAGCACAGGACAGGGAGACAGGCTGCCCCTTGCTGACCGGCCCATGTGGCTCCTCTGCGGGCAGTGCCCGCTGCCGGCCTCCCTCCCTCTCTCCCTCCCTCCGTGCACCGGGACTCCACTCGGCCCTCCCAGAGGACCCCCAAGGCTCATAGAGTGTGGACCCCCAGCCAGGAGGGGCACAGCGGCTGTGCCAGGGATGAGAGGCTCTGGCCTGCCCGGTCTGGAGCGGGGGCAGCAGTCTAGTGCCTGGGAGGGGACGTGGCATTCCACTGAAGCTCCCAACACCTGCTATGATGAGCTGCACAGCCATCCAATCACAGGGACGGTGCCATCCCTAGGCGGTGTTTGGGATGCATTTGGAGGTGGGGAGGGGGAGGCCCCATCACCATGGCCCTGGAGCTTTCTTCTTCACCGCTCCAAAGCCACTGCCCCTCCTATGCCGTGCCATTCGCGTCTCCCCTTGTTAGCCACCTTCCGCACTAGCCACCCCAGGTCCCCGCCCGCCTGGGCCACGTGGGACTGGAACGCCTTCCTTCCCGTCTGGCGACACCTTGTCCATCCCTACAGCTCAGGTGAGGAGCAGAGACTCAAACACGGCCGGGAGCACGTGCCAGGAGAGGAGTAAGTCTGGCCCAGCGGGTGTCCCTGGACGCAGCCCGGTGGCGGGGGACACACAGCAGCCCCCGGTGCCCCACCAGCCATAGAGAATGGCGGTTGGTGGCACCCACATGTGCTGGCAGGGCTGTGAGCCCCTGCGGTCAGGTTCAGGCCTTTGTGCCTCAGCCGCCTCCAGCAGCAGCACCTCGATTCCTGGTGGGGCTCGGGGAACACAGATCCAGGGGGCCCCTCCTGGCTGCCCACTCTGTGCCCATTAAACGCCAGCCACTGGGAGGGGGTTCCCACAGATCACCTCACAGTGACAGCGACCATGGGAGGCGGCTTTGCCCAGAGAGCGGCAGGGAGCCGGGGTCCTCGGCCTGTCCACCGCGGAAGCACCTGTGCGCCCCATCGACACCGCCCGCCGCCCAGACAGGCTTCCAGAGGGCGGACGGAAATGGCCCGGTGCATCAGGGCGGCACAGAGTCGGCTGGCGGGAGACAGCACGTCACGGTGATCCCCGCCAGCGACGTCGCCCAGGTAAAGGCCGACCTTTGCGGTGACTGCTGCTGAGCGCGACTTACTCGCCTTGCAACTGCCCGGGCCGGCAGGAGCCGGGGAGCCGCTCGTGCGTCCGGGGGAGCGTTTTATGGCAACCTTAATTACACCGACAGCCGGCGCCCCCATCTCAGGGGCGTGGGGCGCGCAGGCCTGACCAGCTGGATCCAGGAGGGAGCCTGGCCGGACGCTGGTGGCACCGGGAACTCTGCTGGGGAGGCAGCTACTTGGCCGAAGGTCTGCGGCTTCGGGGAAAGTGGAAGACGTGATTGTAACACATTCAGTTACGATGAAAATCACCTGATGGCCTGAAAATCACCTGATGGCCTGAAAAATCTGCCAACTGCCTGGCCCACCAGACGCACCTGGGTCACCGGGCCGCTTGTGGTTCTCGTGAGGGCACAGCTCTCCCCTCCGTGGGTCCTGGCCACTCCCACAGTGCATGGGGCAGAAGCGCAGGCCAGGCCACGCGTGTGCCCAGGGCATCCCCTTCTCCTCTGGGCCTGCTCAGGGCCATCGCCACCGGGAGCCCGGCCGGACAACAAGCGAGCCCCTGCGCCTCGAAGCACTGCTGGCACCGGGCCCCCTCGCCACACCCGCCAGTCCTCTGCACGCAAACCTGAAGGGCGGGGGAGGGGAGACGTGCTCTGGGCCCCCACAGGACACGGTGCTCCCTCAGCTGACTGCCCATGCCACCTCCCTACCCCACAGGACAATGAGCTCCTGGGGATGAACGTCTGTTACATTTCTGGGTCGCCCTTGGAAAGCACTGGGTCTGCACACTGCATCAGTGAGGTGCAGTGAACTAACGGCTGAGTAAATGGATGAGTGGATAAACGAAAGGACAAATGAAAAAAAGGAGAACTTGGAAAGTCGTGACCTGGCGGCCTCTGGTTGCCAGTGACATGATGGCACTTGGGCTGAGGGAGCACATGGAGCTGCTGCCTCCGGCTCCAGCAGGCACCCTGGGGGGTGACATTCAACTCACGGGGCACTCCTGTGGCCGGGACATGGAGGCAAAGGGAACCTGATCTCCCAGGGGGCTCCGAGACCATGCCGGGGTGGGATTAAAGAGCAGCACTCAACACCACGTCGGCACTCGAGGCTGGCGGGGGCCTCTCCCGCCCCAGTGGGAGGCAGACGCCTGGGCATCTGAGCCTGCCGCTCTGTCACTGGCTGCGTGGCCTGGGCCAGCAACTATCCTCTCCGGGCTCAGCCTCCACACCTGTAAGGTGGGGACAACAACAAGACCTCTGGTTTGCAAGTAAACAAAGGTGACGTGCCTGGCTCAATGGCTGACAGGCAGCAACCACTCATAAACCTTCTCTTCCCCAGCCGGCCAGAGCTAGAGTCCCAGGTGGAGCCGTGAGGCCCTGGGCAAGTCCCTTCTTCCCAGATTTCAATTCCTTCCCTCTGAAAATGAACGAATTGGTCTCTTTCAAATGCCAAGACATGAGGGGTCTATGCACAAGGAAGACCTTTCTAGGGTTTAAATTCACACAAGGACAAGTAGCCAATCACACAGGACAGCACACACAAAAAGAGCGCTGCTGGCAAATTCACAAAGAATCGGAAACGTACATTAAAAAAATAAACTATAAAAATGTGAGGAGAAAACATGATTGAAGTTTTCTATAACCTGAGACCAGGGGAAAACTTTCCTGGCTATGACTCCAAGGCCAGAAGCAATAAGACAAAAGATGAATCAATCTGACTACATGAAAATCACCATCATCATCGTCTTCATCATCATCACCATCACCATCATCACCATCACCACCACCATCATCATCATCACCATCATCATCATCATCACCATCATCACCACCGTCATCATCACCATCATCATCATCACCATCACTATCATCATCACCATCACCACCATCATCACCATCATCATCACCATCACTATCATCATCATCACCACTGTCATCATCACTCTTACATGGCATAAAAACAGGTATATAAGTAAAGTAAGAAGGACAATTGGGAGAAATATTTGCAACTTATATTAGAGGCAAAGGTCACCATCCCTAATATACAGTTTCTAAAATCAGATGAAAATGATCAGTAGCTCTACAGAAAAATGAGCAGATGTGAACAGAGAGTTCATATAAAAGGAAACATAATTGGTCCTTTGATCTTGCTCACAAGAAATGAAAATTTAAATTACACGAAGATACCCAACTGAAATTAGCGAAATTCTAAAGTTTGATCACACGCTCCATTGTGTGTGTGTCGGGGGGGGTGGGGTGGGGGGGGAGGTAGGCATCAGTCACTCTACATACCAACGCCAGAAATGAGAAAGGGTACGATCCCTGTGGCTAGAACTCGGGCAACACCGAGCACAATAACCCATGTCATCCAGCAATATGTGTGGCCCAGCAGCCCCACTGAAGGAACTGATCCCACAGTGACGTTGGCAAACCCCCAAGCAACACAAGCACAAGGCCATTCAAAGCAGCACTACTTGTAAAAATAAAATCGGAAGGACCCAAATGGACATCAAGGAGGGACGGGTTAAATAAACCTCAGGATTCCCCAGTCCGGAACACCATGGAGCTGCAAAAAAGAATGAAGCCGACCCCCCCGCCTGCTGTGGGGTGCCCCTCCCCGCCCTACGCCGACCTCCCCACCTGCTGTGGGGTGCCCCTCTACCCATACACGGTTCAGTGAAAAGTGCGAGGTGGGAGAGGA